TTGTCAACTTTGGACATCATAATTTTTCTCAGTGTTTTCCAATCTGATTTTATGTATACAGGTTTTTATATGTATTCTACCTACAAATACATATACATACACATACACATACACATACACATAAACATACAGGGGTGGGCAAAAGTAGTTTACAGTTGTGAGTACACAAAACAGTTTATTCTTATAATATATATTGATTATTGTATTACTTTCCATATGAACAACTGTAAACCTACTGTTGCCCATCCCTTTATTTTTGTCATTTAAATGAGCATTTCTTTAATTATTAGTTGTATTTTAATAGCTTTATTTTTGTATGCCAAACTGTGTTAAGTACATGAGCTCATTTATCCTTATACAACCCTATGAGTTTCATTATCTTTACATAGATTTATATAGCATTTTTTTTTATGAATTGCTTGTTCATATCTTTGGCATTAATTTTTCCGATTGCTTACTTATGTTTTTTATTGATTGAAGAGCATTTTTTCTTGTCCTTTTTTGGGAAGGAGGTGGGTATATCAGTGCTATGAGCCTTTATCTTGCTTCAGTGTTTTGTTTTTTTTTTGAAGTGAGTATCGTTATTGTTATTTTGTCTGTTCATTCTCTCTCCTGTACTTACTCTGATAACTGTAACTTACTACCCTACCCTTTCTTTGGGAAATTGTTCCCTTTCTCTATATGTTTGCTTTTGTTTTTAAATTGAGATATAATTGACATATTAGTTTCAGGTGTACAATATAATGATTTGATATTTTTGTATATTGTGGAATTTTTAAATAGACTTTATTTTTTAGAACAGTTTTAGATTCATAGAAGAATTATGCAGAAAGATCCCATATATCCAATTTCCTTGATATTTTAACATTTTTCATTAGTATGGTACATTTTTTACAGTTAATGAACCAAGTCCACAGTTTATTCAGATTTCCTTAGTTTAAAAATACTGATAGCCCTGGTTGGTTTTTCTCAGTGGTTAGAGCATCGACCCGCGGACTGGGGAGTCCCGGGTTCAATTCCCACTGAGAGCACGTACCTCAGTTGCAGTTTGTCCCCAGCCCTGGTTGGGGTTGTGCGGGTGGCAGCCAGTCAATGTGTCTCTCTCACATCAATGTTTCTCTCTCTCTTCCTTCTTCTCTCCCTCCCACTCTATCTGAAGATAAATGCAAAAATCCCTGGATGAGGATTAAAAAAAAAAAATTGTGATAAAATATATGTAACATAAAATTTGCCATTTTAATTATTTTAATTGTTCTATTGAGTGGCATTAAGTACATTCTTAGTGTTGCGCAACCATCACCATTATCCATTTCCAGAATTTTTCATCATCCCAAACAGAAACTATACCCATTAAACAATAACTCCCCATTCTTCTCTTCCTTCCATCCCTGGAAAATTCTGTCTGCTGTCTCTGAATTTGTTTATTCTAGATACTTCACATAAGTAGAATCATGCAGTATTTGCCCTTTTGTGTCTGGCTTATTTCATTCAGCATAATGTTTTCATCCATGTTGTAGCATGCCTCATTTTGTTTAATCATTCATCTGTTGATGGAGCTTTTTAGTGTTTACCTAATGACTTTTTTCTGTGCCAGGATTCCATCCTGAATACTACATTATATATAATTGTTTTATCTCCTTAGTCTCCTCTTGGTTGTGACAGTTCCTCATACTGTGTTTTTGATGACTTGGACAGTTTTGAGTTCTAGTCCAGTATTTTGTAGGATATGCCGTTTATTGGAATTAGTCTGATTTTTTCCCCCCACCTGATGATCAGACTGGGGTTATGGGTTTTTGGGAAGAAGGCCAGTGAGATAAAGTGTCATTTTTATCATATCCTACCTACCAAGTGTACATACTATTAACATGACTTATCGCTGTTGATATAAACCTTCATCATCCCTGGCTGAGGTGGTGTTTGTCAGGGTTCTCTGCTGTAAGGTTACTCTCTCCTGATCACCCCCCATACTTTCCTCTTTGGAAGTGTCAACTGAAGGTTGTTGGTGCCAATTCAACGTCAACAGGAATCCTCAATTTGGGGTGCAGTGAAGGGTACTTTGTTCAGTGCAAAACAGTTAATTCAGTCGTAATACAGTACGGCTGTGGAAACAGCACAGCTGTGAGGCAGCCCTAGGGTGAAGTGGCCCTGGGCCAGGCAGCCCTGGGTCCTGGCTCCTCTCTGGCTCGACAGCTACGGGCTGCCCTCTCTGGTCTGTTCTGCCCTCTCTGGTCCGCTCTGCTCTGGTCTCTCTTCCCTGCTCTGGCCGGCTGCAGTTAGACATCTGTGGTTCAGCTCTAGACCAGCCTGAGAAACAGTCTTTGGTGAAAAAGAAAAAAGTGCTCTTAGAACTAGGGGGGAGCTGATTTATATAGACAATTCCCCACCCTTGGTCCCTGATTGGTCTGTACTTATGCAAATGAGGACTTCAAATCCTTGCAATTTGATTGCCCAAAAGGCACTGCCCTGATTGGTTGTTGAAGAAGCTGATGGGGATATAGCTGTGTAGCTCAGACTGGAGAAAGCCCCAGTCCTACTGGTTGAAATAGGATTGCAGGAACTCCTTTGTAAGGGCTCAGATGACAGGAACACAGTGCAGGCAGCAGGTCAGTGCAGGCTTCTCCCGGAAGTGCAGTTTGCATGAGAGGCCCCTGTGTAGAAAGGATAGGCTCTGTTTTTCTTTAAATTTGAAACCAGTTAGCTACTGGCGCCCTTCTTCTTAAAAAAAAAATTTTTTTTTTTAAATAGATTTTCGGAGAGAGGAAGGGAAAGAAACAGAGAGAGAGAGAGAGAGAGAGAGAAACATTGATGTGAGAGAGAAACAATGATTAGTTGCCTCCTGCATGTGCCCCAACTGGGGAATCAAACCCACAACCTGGGTATGTGCCCTGATCAGGAATTGAACCCACCACCTTTTGGTGTAGGGGATGATACTCCAATCAACTGAGCCACACAGCCAGGGCCCGCTAGGGCCCTGGAGCCCTTCTTTTTTTTTATCCTCACCCGAGGACATTTTTTCGATATTTTGTTCAGATAGAGGGGAAGAGAGAGAGAGAGAGAAACATCGACGTGAAAGGGACACATCGAGTGGTCGCCACCCACACGACCCAACCAGGGCTGGGGAAAACTGCAATCGAGGGTGGTTGCCACCCACATGACCCAACCAGGGCTGGGGACAAACTGCAATCGAGGTACATGCCCTTAGCGGGAACCGAACCCGGGTCTCTCTGGACCGCAGGTCGACGCTCTAACCGCTGAGCCAAACCGGCCAGGGCCCTGGAGCCCTTCTTAACAGATACCTTCTTTCTCAGGGTCCACAGAAGGAAGTCACTATGCACTGTGGGAAGTTATGCTCCCCTCCTTGAGGGCAGAGTATCTACATAAATTATTTGGAATTCTTCTATGTGGGAAATTTATATCAGTAGCCACTTCCTTTTACAGATGAGGGGTCTGAGGTCTAGGTAACTTTCTCAGAGTCACACAGTGTCAACACAGGGATACAGTCCAGGTCTTCGATTCCCACTCTGCAGGCGTCTGGTGAACAAGTGTTAAGTTCTGTCAAGGTTTGGAGCCATCGTGCTTTATATTTTATTTCTCACAGCACTGTGCTGATTACATAGTAGGAATTCAGTATATTTTTATTTTATTTGTATATGGGCCTTTCCTTTGAAGAGCTTGACAGCCTAAAGAGAAGGAAGGAAAGAGAATGAAAACATACAAGAAAAGAAATGATAGCACAAAAGCTTTAGAAAGCTTAATTTAACTGTACATATATATTTTCCCCTTACATGTTTATGTTGATCAGTTATCTTAATTTCTCAATCTAATGTAATCATCTTTTTTAAAAAATGTTTTCAGAAGATGTGTTTTGTTGGTGAGGCCAGTGAAGGGAGAGAGGAAGCCATGTCTCACTGGGAACGTGTACCCCGTGTAGCGCGGTACATGCTATGCACATTTTTTCCTTCCACAAATATTTATTGAGCCCCTTCCTTGTGACTCAAATAAAAAAAATAATAATATATAGTTGTAAATCTATAAAATAAAATGATGCCAATTTTTGAGCTGCTTTGGCTCTTGTAAACAAAATTATATGAGGAAGCTTCAGAAACTCAAAGCAAACGTCAGCATCCTAAAATCATTATTTTTATGTGGCAAAAAGCCATCAGGAATTTAAGATTTCTTTTGCTTTTCCTGTGAAAATGTTTGGTTTTCCTTTGAAAGGAAAAGCTGTGTTCTTCTTTAGTATTTATTTCTCCACAGGGTCACAGTTCTTAACTTTGTGACAGAAAATTCAGAAGTAAAACTGACTGGAAATAGAGCAAGAGCAGAATTGAAACTAATAAGTTGGGCCTGAAATGTGTGCTAAAAGGAAAAATAAAATTAGGTCTTCATAGTTTCCAAATGTGTATGGGGGCGGGTGGGGGTGGCGGAAAGAAATATTTGTCATTTTTAATGTACTCAACTATGCGCAGCTACTAACCAGGGTGTTTTAGAAAAATTCAAGACGTTATGTTAAGAGAGGACATTTAATTTTTTAAAATATGTTTGTTGATTTTTTTTTAGAGAGAGAAGAAGGGAGAGAGAGAGAGAAACATCCATGTGAGAGAGAGATGTTGACCGGCTGCCTCCTGAACCCCCCACCCCCCCCCATACTGGAGATTGAGCCCAAAGCCTGGGCATGTGTCCCCATTAGGAATTGAACTGGGATTTCTTAGTTCATGGGACTAAGAAATGCTCAGTCCACTGAGCCACACTGGCAGGGCAAGAGAGGACCTTCTAACTTTTATACTTTATTTTAGGTTTAATGACATCAGTCATGTTTCAAGCAGAGTTAAATTTTTTTAGTGCCTTGTATATAGAAGCTGCATCCTTAGATTATCCAGGTAGAGGAGCACATGGAGAATGAAAAACGTGACATTGGAATTTTTAAAAAACATAATTTATAGTATACCTCCTTGATTCAGAATTATACAACCTTGTTTTCTATCTCATTTCAAGATGGACACATGAATTTTGAATCATTGAATTTTATAGACGCAAAATCTGAAGCCCTCAGGCGAATCTGTTTCCCTGGCCATAGCCTTGGTCCATCTGTTTATTCTGGCCCTTAAGGAGTTAATAAAGAGTATTCGTTTAACAAGTCTGAATGGAGTGTCGTGATGTTCCTGCTAGCAGCAGAGACCTGACCAGACCCTGAATCTCTCATGAGCAGTTCCACTGTGCTTGGGTGGGTATTTTGAAAACTTGTTTTTCTTTTTAAAAAACCAACTTATTTATTTATTTTTCCCTTTATTGATGTTAGAGAGAGAGGAAGGGAGAGGGAGAAAGAGAGATAGGAACATCGATGAGAGAGGACATCGATTGGCCACCTCCTGCATGCCCCCCACTGGGGATTTGGCTCACAACCTGGGCATGTGCCCACTGACCTCTTGGTGCATGGGTCAGTGCTCAACCACTGAGCCACACCGATCAGGTGAGAGCTTGTTTCTTAAACTTATCTCTGCTTTGACAGGTTATACCTACAGCTGTGGGGATTTTAAGTTAGAATTAAAATGGGAGGACTGCCCTGGCCGGTTTGGCTCAGCGGTTGGAGCGTCGGCCTGCGGACCAGAGAGTCACAGGTTCGGTTCCCGCTAGGGGCATGTACCAAAAAATGAAATAAAATAAAATGGGAGGAAACCTGTATTTTAAACTTCTCTTTATAGACGGAACACTCAGACTCCACCCTGTCCTTCTCTGATGGTATAAATTAGAGTGAAACTTTGGAATGTCCCTCCATAGTAGTTTACATGATCAGGTTTCCTGTTTTGTCAGTAGGTATTTACCATACCTATCCTGTTTTGAATATTCCACTTAAGAAGTCCTGATTCTTTACCTCTTTAAAACCATCTGGTTGTGAGGTTTTTGATGTTAGGGATTTTAGTCTGTATAATATTGCCATTGACTTGATTTACTAGTAATGTTATTAGACATTGAAAACTCTAGTTAAGTGTGTTTATTGGTTAAGAGGCTGAGACAGAAAATGCTAAAGCTAAGTATTAGCACTCAACACTTAGGAGTCTTAGTCTGTTTGTTGGTCCATTGAAGTGTCTGGTACTTTTTCCCACCTTGGTTTTTAGAATGTCCTAAAAGATACAGTCAGACTTTTTTGAAAACAAGGAAAATCGGGAAGCTGAAACTGACGGCTTCCTTTGGCTTTTGTCAGTAGACTCCTGAGTAAGAAAAAAGAGAAGATCCAAATAAGTAAAAGTGGAAATCAGACTTTTATGATCTATCATTTCCAGGAAGAACTTGGTGTTCTTTAACATGACTTTACTTTTTTTGAACTATAAGTAATTCATGTGTTCATTTTAGCCTACATTAAAACTAATTCTAAGTCCAAAAGTAGAAGGAACAGAGAGAGTCAGCATTTACTCAGCATATATTTATAAAGTACCTTCTTTGATTTATGTTAGGCACAGGATTAGAAACTATATGTCTTGTTTCCTCCAATCTACTTATGTCTTTCAGAGGATATGAATTATTTCCTATCACAATTGCAGTCTTTTTTTTTTTTTTTAATAATACAGGAAAAGTAAACTTTTTAAAATGCAAGGATTATGAAAAATCTTTTTTTTTTTTTTAAACTTTGTCTACCTTAATGAATAGAATTAATGTCATTGAGAAAACTGGTAGTGCTTTTAAGAGTCCAAAGCTCATGTACCCAATGTTTTGAAAGGCTAAAACTCAAACTTCAGTTTGGAGTGAAGAAAGGTTTATTGATCAAGAAAGCACCAACTGAGAAGATGGGAGACCTAATTCCCAAATTCATCTTTGGAAAGTACAGAGTTCAGGCTTCCTTTATGTCAAGGGAAGGGGAGATGAGAGGGCGAGGGGGGACTGACCACTGCAACATCTGGGGCCAGCAGCGGTTGGAGGAAGATTTTGCTAGTTGCTGTGAGTCTGGTTATGAGGTTCCTGCAAATCTTTGATAAGCAATACACACTTTCCTTGTCTTCTCAAGCCACAAGCAGAATTTCTTTAATGATTAGCATGTCTGTATGCAAGACTAAGCAGAAGCTATATCATTAGAAGCTTATATTAGCCTGAGCCATGGGAACAAAGCAGGCTTAAACAAGATGGAGCATTTTACTGTTAAACTGCTTTCATTCACTAAAATATTAATGTTGAGGTATATATGAGAAGCAGCAATATGAAGAAGATGTTCTACTTTTCACCCTGAAAATAGATCACAAAGCAAGGTAGGCAGGCGGTTTGTGGGGTACTCATTATAGGTATAGGATATTTAACAGAACTATACTCATTACAGGATAGAATTGGTCCCATTATAGAATTGTATATATAGTGGTATTTCAGGCTTGTTTTCATGAGTTGACTTAATGGAGTTTATTCTATGTAGAAGGAATTTAAAATAGACATAAAAGTCCAGGTGCTCTAGAGTGACAGTTCTACTTAGGATAGTCATATATTTCTATCAAAAGCCATAAGGCTGATTATTAGATGGAACACTAAAATGGCAGAATTTCTTAATTACACATTAGCTGCATTTTTGGTATTATGCAAACTCAGCTATGTTTTTATTTTGTTTTGTTAATCCTCATTGAGGATATTTTTTCCATTGATTTTTAGAGGGAGTGAAAGGGAGGGAGTAAGAGAGGGGGAGGAGAGAGAGAGAGAGAGAGAAAGAGAGAGAGAGAGAGAGAGAGGGAGAGAGAGAGAGAAACATTAATGTGAAAGAGACCCAGCTGGGACCCAGGAATGAACCTGCAACCCAGGTACGTGCCCTTGACCAGGAATCAAACCCAAGACTCTTCGATGCACAGGCTGATGCTCTAACCACTGGGAACACCAGCCAGAGTGCAAACTCATCTATTTTAATACTACCTGAAGATCATCTTGGTTTGGGATAGTGGATGGGGCAGGAAGGTCAGGGAGGATATCTCCAAAGTGGAGATTCTGAAGCTGAGTCATGAAGAAAGATTAGGTGTCTGTATACTTGATTGCACTTAATCCAATTTTGTGATTACCATTTTGTGATTACCATTTGCTGCCAGGTTTTCCTCCAGACAAGACTCATGGCTCACACACCATTATAGAAATATCCTTAAAAATTATTCACGAGCCCTGGCCGGTTTGGCTCAGCGGTTGGAGCGTCGGCCTGCGGTACAGAGAGACCCGGGTTCGGTTCCCGCTAAGGGCACGTACCTCGGTTGCAGTTTGTCCCCGGCCCTGGTTGGTCGTGCGGGTGGCAGCCACTCGATGTGTCCCTTCACGTCGATGTTTCTCTCTCTCTCTTCCTCTCTCTCCCTCCCGCTCTATCTGAACAAAAAATGGAAAAATGTCCTCGGGTGAGGATAAAAAAAAAAAAAATTAAAAATTATTCACGAGCCCCGCTGGTGTGGGTCAGTGGATCGAGCATCGTCTCATGTACCGAGAGGTTGTTGGTTTGATTCCAGGTCAGGGCACATGCCCAGCCAGGCTGCAGGCTCAATCCCCAGTGAGGGGCATGCAGGAGGCAACCGATTGATGTTTCTTTCTCATCGATGTTTTCATCTCTCTTCTCCTCTCTCTCTCTACCTAAAAAAACAATTAAAAAATATATTTTTACCCTCACCTGAGGACATTTTTGCATTTATCTTCAGATAGAGCAGGAGGGAGAGAGGGGGAAAGGGAGGAAGAGAGAGAAGCATTGATGTGAGAGAGACATATTGAGTGGTTGCCACCCACACGACCCCAGCCGGGGCCAGGGGCAAACTGCAACCGAGGTACATTTTTGTACATAGCTGCATTTTTGGTATTATGCAAACTCAGTTATGTTTTTGTTTTGTTTTGTTAATTCTCATTTGGGGATATTTTTTCCATTGATTTTTAGAAGGAGTGGAAGAGAGGGAGTGGGGGGGGGGAGAGAGAGAGAGTGATTAATGTGAGAGAGACACATTGATTAGTTGCCTCCTGCACTTCCCCCAACCTGGGCCCAGGAATGAACCTGAATGTGCCCTTAGCGGGAACTGAACCCGGGACTCTCTGGTCCGTGGGCTGACGCTCTAACTGCTGATCCAAACAGGAACTGGCTAGGGCCTATATATATATATATAAATATATATATATATATTTTTTTTTTTTTAATTCTCACCCTAGGATATTTTCCATTAATCTTCAGATAGAGTGGGAGGGAAGGAAGAGGGGAGAGAGAGAAAGAGAAACATTGATGTGAAAGAGACCAATTGGTTGTCTTCCCCATGACCTGACCAGGGCCGGGGATCAAACTGGAATCGTGGTACATGCCCTTGACCGGAATCGAACCCGCGACTCTTTGGTCTGCTGGCCAACACTCTAACTGCTGAGCCAAACTGGCCAGGGCAATAAAAACATTTTTAAAAATTTTAAAAATTATTCATGAACAAATTTCCCACTCTTACCTTTTAACATTTTGCCATGCTGCCTTGTGTTTTTATTTATTTATTTATTTATTTATTTATTTATTTATTTATTTATTTTTTATCCTCACCCGAGGACATTTTTTCGTTTTTTGTTCAGATAGAGTGGGAGGGAGAGAGAGGAAGAGAGAGAGAAAGAGAGAGAGAGAGAAACATCGACGTGAAAAAGACACATCGAGTGGCTGCCACCTGCACAAATCCAACCAGGGCCGGGGACAAACTGCATCCGAGGTATGTGTCCTTAGCGGGAACCGAACCCGGGTCTCTCTGGACCGCAGGTCGACACTCTAACCGCTGAGCCAAACTGGCCAGTGCTGATGGACTTTTGTTATTGGTTTCTAGGAACTCTATGTTTTAGTGAAGTCTTTGTTAGGCGAATTAAACATTTTTTCCTAGGCTGGTTTTTCCTTTTATATTGCACAGGATGGTTTTTACCATGCATACTGTGTGTAGTAAAATGTATTAATTTTTTTCTTTTTATAGCTTCTGAGTTTTATGTCATTCTTAGAACTTTGAGGTTATAAAATAATTCTTTATGATTTCTTTTGGTGCCTTTATGCTTTAATTATTCACATTTAAATATCTTTAAGCTGTTTGGAATTTGATATAAGGTATAGGGTATGCCTCCTACTTCATACAGTCGTCCCTCGCCTCTTCGCGCATGCACTTCCGCGCCTTCACAGGGACGACTGTGTATGAATGAAGAATCCTCCTTCGCGGAAATTCATTTATCGCGGTAGAATCCGGAACTGATTAACCATGATAAACGAGGACCGACTGTGTATGTTTC